AGTCAAAATTAAAATAAGAGAGATATTAGAAAGGAAGTCATTTCAATACACTAGTTCAATGTAAACTGAAATAAATTAAAATTTGCTAGTTCAAGAAAGTCAAAAAGATAGAAATATAGAAAAAGTCAATGAACTGGAATATAAAGACAGTTTTATCATAGAGGGGTCAATTTGTGTTGTTGTTCTGACATTATAGGCAAGAGTCTAAACGTCTGAGAAGAGAGGGTAAACTCTGTGAAGAGATACCAGGATGCACTCCCTTTGCGGAAACTTCCTGCTATCTTGAAGAGACACATCGACCTCCACGTCCGAACGAACATGTTCACGTGCCCTTGGATATCATAGACGTTGCATCAATGCTCCGGCAATACTATGACGTCTAAGTAACTAACGGAGGCGGTTCAGGGCCCATCTTGGCCAGATGGTAGTACCCTGTTTAGGCTCGCTCGTTCCTCGACACGGAATAAAACAGCACGAATCATGAAAATGAGCGGTAAAAAAGATGAATACCTGCAGGGTAATGCTTCGGCTAAATCCCTCCCCGGTTCCGATCGTCAAGCGCATAGCGTGGGGGCGATGGCCTGTGACCCATGGATGCAGGAGGGCAAAAACGCTTTAAAGATTCCACAGATCATCCTGGAAAGAATCCAAGTAGACGAATGTGGTGTACAAGGACCCAGAAGAGGTAGCGTTTCAAGTGTGGGCAGCTGCATTAGCGTTTTCAGCAACGCTTCTGCTGATGCTATCGCTATTGATAATCAGGACAGGGACACTTGTATTAAGCTGCGAGAGGAGGAGGCGGCTTGCATTGAAAGGATTGAGGAGGAGGTACGCAAGATGCTGGAGTCCTGCGAGGAACAGACGAACGACAATATGACGATCAAACACGGTCTGAAGAACCTGACAGAAAATGTACAGGAGGTTAGACAAGAAGCATGAAGCCGCGAAGTAGCAGGATGCGCGCTTCTACCACAGTATGTCCATTTCGGAAGAGATGCGTGAGGATCGGAAGAGAAGACGAGAGCGATTCCAAACAAAGGTCATTAGAAATGTCGTGCTGGAGTGCTCTAAGAAAAGGAAGAAAAGTGAAAGTAGTCCAGAGGTGACAAAGGAGGTAAAGAAAAAGAAGGAAGCACCTTCTAAGATACCGAAGCCAACAACAAGTCATGGTAGTACGGCGAAGTCGGCGGCTAGACGATCTACAATGATCGTTAGGGTCGTGGAAGGAAGGTCTTTTGCTGAGGTGCTGGGACAGCGGTTCCACATGGAGACAAAATCGCAGCGACGTTGCGATTGTCGTGCTCCCACCATCCCATCTACTCAATGCTTTCCCCTCATGACGTCACAGGCGAGGAGTGCATTGAGTAGATGGGATGGTGGGAGCACGACAATCGCAACGTCGCTGCGATTTTGCCTCCATGTGGAACCGCTGGGAAAGGTCCGCAAGGAGGTAAACTCGGCGAAAAGTCAGACTAGAGTAGTTGGAGCAAGACCAACCAAGAGGGAGACCTCCTCATTAATTAGGATAGGGGGTTCCTCAGACAAGAGCGGGTTTACTGAGGAAGTGAACAGAATTGTGGGTGATTTGGGTAAGGTGCAGAACGCGGACCGAAAGATTACTCTGGAGATTCGCGACCTGGATTGCTTTACCCAGGAGGACGAGGTGCAGGAGGCACTATCTGGTCTCATAAGTGAACAGGCAGAAAGCAGAAAAGTGACGGTCCTTGGACCTAACAAGCGGGGGATGAAACTCGCAGTTGTGGTCACCGACCAAGATCAGGCTGAAAAGCTGGAGGTGCTCGGACGCATAAAAATTGGTTTTATATCATGCCCGATCAGAAGGAGGCTTATGATAGTGAGGTGTCATCGATGCCTCGGCTATGGTCACCTAGCAAGATAATGTAACATGACGGATAGATCGACTGCGTGCTTTAAGTGCGGTGAAGTCGATCACAAGGCTGTGTATTGCAAGAGGAATGCTTCTTGCTTCTTGTGTAAGGAGAAGTTCCCAGAAACGAAAAACGTTCATCACGTTGTGGGAAGTGGAACTTGCAGGGTCTTCCGAACTGCCCTTGAGGAGGCGAAGAAGACTTTCGCAAGGACCAAAAGTAGAAGAAAGGCGTAATTTCACACCACAACTTTTATGTCTTTAGTCAGCTTTTTATTTTTGTTCTGTTTAATTTAACTTACTCTGTGATTTTCATTTGTCCTTTTACAATTTTAATTTATTTTGTGATTTATATTTGTCCTTTTACAATTTTATCTTTTGAACTTTGCTTTCAGTATGTTTACTTTCTTGTTTCTGTTGCCTATGTCTATTTACAATTTTATTGTTACACTTTTTTAACATTTTTTTTATTATTGTGTTGTTACGTTGCTCGCTCTTCCTCTTCTTTCCACCCACGCCAATATGACTCTTGGTAATAATAACGCGTTGTTACGCTCCTTCATCCTTGTGCCACTATCCACGGTTCCCGCGCTAGGCGCTGGACGGTCAGAATTAGAGAGGGATTTATTTGGAATATTACCCCGTAGGTACTCCTTGTTTTTACTATCGCTCATCATTTTCTGGTTTCTGGTTGCCCTTTAGTGAAATGCCCCGCCACCACGACAAGATCTACCAAACATATCCATGATGTACATTATGTTTGGTCATAGAAAACTGCGGCCCAACATATCCTTGACATCCATGATGTTTGGTAGTGGTCAACCATCGCTAGCAGGTAGACGTTTCCCTGTGAAACAATTATATCCCAAACTATGTAGTGCTATTAATTTGCATAATTATAAAATTTATTATTAAAAAAACGTAATTTGTTAATTTATCTTCATAATTTTATAATAGTTTCTAAAGAGGACAGCTGTACTGTTGATACATAATAATTAATATTTATTTACGTTTATTCGGAGTGGGCGTTCTCTTCTGCAATATTTTTTAACTTAAAAAGGAATAATTACATAAAAAAACTAAAAGTAAGTAAAGTAACTTTTCATTCCTATGGTGTAATAACAGTAATATTTGCTTCTTTAGTTCTTTCTGAAATAAAAGGTTTGCGTCGTGTAAAATTGAAGTAGTGTCGTAGTTAAGTTGAACTGGTTGTCGAACGTGAGATGAAAACTTCAACACGACTTTAGTTTAACACGTTTTTTTATCCAATGACTTTGTTCGATTTGATTTTGGCGCAGATGAGCTACAAAAGTACTTCGAAAAAGGTTCATCTCGATTTTAAAAATATTCTAAACCTACTGTAAGTAAAGAATTATAAAAATGTCAGGGATAGAATATATTCCAATTCATTATATTTGTAATTTTCAAGAAATGTAATTTAATAAAAAAGATCATTTAATGTAGGAAATTATTTGATGATTAAGAATTTTAATTATGAAAGATTTCGACTATATCACCAATTAGTGACATCTATTAGATGTCAATTGAACTCTTTGGTTTAGAGTTAGGCGATAGGCAGCTATTAACTGGGGTTCGAGTCCTCACAGATGCACAGTGCAGTCGTTCACGCAGCTTATTTTTTAGATCAAAAATTAAATTAAAAAAATATAATTATTTACCGACAACCATATCGGAATAATTATCTTAAGAAAAAGACCTAACTTTAAACCAAAGAGTTCAATCGACATCTAATAGATGTCACTAATTGCTGATATAGTCGAAATCTTTCTAATTAAAAAATATCATTTGTTTATAAAATATTATTGAAATAGAATAATTATAAAATTGCTCTACATGTAACTAATATATACATACCTTTAGAACTATTTTTTATAGTGTTTCATAGAAATCGATGCAATTCAGAACAAAATATTACTATTCAATGAATCTATACTTTCGCATATAGTATAGAAAAATAACTCCTTTCTGATTCAATTTTTAAACAAAAAAAAATTAATGAAGGATGTGTATATTAAATTTTCTACAATTTTCCTTTTTGACATTGTGAGATATTTAAATTATTAAATTTATGTTTATCTCGATTTTAAAAAAAATATATTTATCAACTTTTGAAAACTTGCTCCTTAAATATATAAGTGTACAGTCCTGAAATTTAAATAGTGGGGATGAGTTCGTCAGCGTACAGTTTGAAATCAAGTGGAGGGGTTATTTCTGGGGTACCGTACAGTTCTGCGGCCCGACTGTATTTAAAATTTTTTAAAACCATAGAACAGAGATATTATTATTTGAAAAGTTATTTAAAAATCTATATTAAATATACAATAAAGTTTCGCCTTTATAAAATGTATTGTTCGCAAATGAAAAAAAATAACACACAAAATTTAAATATTGTATTACGTGGAATAGATAAAAGAGCATAACAATAGAATTGTATTTTGTTCATAACAATGGTTTATTTGAAAAAGTTAAATAAAACAATAGTAGAGTGAGTTTTTCAAGTAAAAAATTTGGATTTCGTTATATTTGAATAATGTTTTATTTTAATGAATAGGAAATACGCAGATAGGATTACGTGTATATAAATTGCACAATAAGCACGAATGATTTTGGTTAGCGGAGACCGGTTTGCAACGATGTATTCGACATACAGAATCAGCAAGATCAGTATGGTTACTGTTGTTATGTGCTCGAGGTCACGAACTTCAGCACCCCAACCCCTTTCTCTTCATCCTAATTTGGATGACAGTGATTCTACGTAGTGAATGCATGTTCTCCACATCAACGGTTGACCAAAATCACACGTATCACACTGTATATATACAATATACAGTTCACCATTGTCAGCCACATTGTAATCGACATTTATCTTCCGTCAATTTTAACCCACATTTTTTTATCATTCATTCGGATTATTCTCGTCATTTGGACATAAGTTTATTTGTCTATTTTTTAATATTAATGCTTTTAAAGTGAGATCTAAGTCACAATTGATTAACTTAACTAATTATATTACATTTTTGATGGTTGCTTTTAAATTAATTTATATTTCTAGGTGAGTAGTCATTTAAAAAACATTTTTTTATTCTTGCAGGACGGCAGGCGAGAAACGTTCAGATTCATGGAAAGCCTACGAATAATCATGGGAATCATGATGTCGCAACAGTTGATGATTTCACGAACGGTAAGAAATTATACTTATTTTAGGAGGATTACTAGTTTTAAAATGGGTTATTGAATTGAGTTGCTGAAGACTCATTTAGATGATTTATTAAATTGTAAAAAGTGACGTTAATTCAAAGATCAAACGTTGCAGTTTCTCAGTTTATTAGTTACTATGCTTTACTAAATGAAGATACAGGTTGCGTTAGGTGAAAATTATATTGTTTACATTTTCCGTCGACAAAGATAATCTACATTTCTATGTGAAACATAAACTATTAATATGTAATATCCTCGGTGGGTTGACGTTACAAATCTCCTAAATAGTTTAGCTAACTTGGTAAAATACAACTGTCGTCCTTGTTTATGTAATCAAGGAAGATGACATTGTTTGGTATTTACTATGCCGCAACTATTATTATCAATCATCTACTTAGGCAATATAAATAACTACATACCACATTAATTGTTAACCTTAAAACAATATTCATGATCATGTTGTTTCGTCACAAAGATCAACGCCTATAAGTCCACAACATGCCTAAAATGTAAATCAGCAAGAATTAGACCTATAACCCCAATAGGATGCGTCCGGTCTCTTTAATGATATAACATCCAACTTAGCCTTCCGGAATCCTCTATTTCAAGGCTTTATAAAATTAGTTACTTACAAAAACATTGTTTATATCCGTCTCTAAAGAGAATCTCTATTTATGTTTATAGAAATGAAGTAAAAAAATAAAACCGGAAGTTTGAGGGTTTAAATTCCAACCAGGGATGGGATTCTGTAATTTTATTTGAAATAAAATAGAGAGGATTATAAGAAGATATAAAATCAGAATTAAAGAAGGTTATTCAAAAGAAAAGAAAGTAAATATAATGTGAAAGAAGAAAAAAGGAATATGAAAGAAATAAATTTCTCCAAAAATGAAAATTAAATTAATAAAATTTAAGAAAAAACTTCAGAGAAGTAAGATAAAAATTATTTCAAATTCCAATAAAATAAAAATTAAAATATTAGGAAATATAAGGAGAATAAAGAACTTATAGACATATATAGACAGTAAAATAAAATTACAATACAATTTATGTTTATTATTTGTAAGTAAAATTTTATGATGAAATACAAATCTTGCGGCGACTTCAAAGGAAAATTGAAAATTGAAGAGATTGAAAATGAAATTTGTAAGTTTTAAACAGCAAAATTTCAAGCGCGACACGATGAATGCAATCCAAAGAAGACGAAGTACTGGGACCAGAGTATGAATATGAATAAGAAGACTGAGAAAAGGGATGAATCCCGAGAAGAAGCGAAATAAAATAATCCCTAGTGCTAGGTTAAATCTTTTTTTCACAACGAATATCCAACCACAATTGCGTCAAGTGCTTCCGTTAGATCTTCAATTTCAATGAAATTTTTCTTTAGTGAAATTGACGACTTCATGAACACTCTTACATACATATATATATAAAGGAAAATCTCTCAAAATCGCTGCGTGTGCAAATTTAAAAGCCTTAGCATTTTATCGTTGTCAATTAGATTTTAGATTTCTAAGGATATAAAATTAAAACCCTTCCTCATGGAATTTCAATTATTTGCGATAAAAAATAAAATGAGGACAAGTAGGTTCGTCTTCAGTGATATAAACTTTTTAATTATACGCAATAAGTCTTGTAAAAGAAAATTCTTTTAGAAAAAGAATAAAATGAAAATGTTGAAATAGGAGCTACGAGAATCGAAAAAATCTTGTAATCGTGACTTGAAATAGTTGAAAAATTTCGACAGCTTTATAAAAGATGTGAGCAATCCGAATTCTTTTGGTAATTTCTGCCTTTGAATTTTAAATTTGAAAAAATTTTATTTTTTCAGCAAAATTCAAATGTTTACTACATTCCTTTTTGGAATCTTTTTTTTACTGCATATTGTCAAGTTTGTATATTTTCTTGTTAAAGGAAATTAATTTTTAAGTACATATAAATTCCATTTTACTTGTATTTTTTTCCTGACATAGCGACCTCTTTCATCTCTCCTTTTGCATAGCTATTCTACCTGCAAATCGCTACCAGATGGGTAAAATTGAATTAGTCACAGCCACACTTATAATTACAACCGTTACTGCTCCGGTCTCTCTCTCTCTCTCTCTCTCTCTCCCATCCTTCGCTTCGCTGATTTCACGAGCGGCAAGCGTGCGGTAATAGCTGTAATTTTTCCAACGTTAATTTCATGCAAAAGTTTCCAGGTTCGCCGAGTCTACAGTCTATTGGTCTTTTTGGCCTAGAATATGCCGGATACAAACCCAAGAGAGGGAAAAGGAGAAAAATAGATATTTAACTGTGGAAAAAATTCACTGGCAATCTTTCCCCGTGGCAAACCTCCAGCAAAAGGAGAGAAGGATCCAAATGCTTCGGCGAACCGTAAAACTTCCTTCTTGCTTTCAGAAATAATGAAGGATCCACTTCCAAGAAACACATTTCAGCTGGTTCTTATTTTATAAAACCAAAAAATGCCTTTTCACAGTAATAATGAACATTGACACGTAAAGATAAATTTCTAAAACGAAATAATTGGAAATAAAACTTAAGAAATATATTATCAGCTGGTGCATTCGTAATTGCGCATTTTTCATTCTCACTTTCAATGCTCGTAAAATTGTGGTTTTTGGTGTATGTAATTAGAAGTGATTTCCGATAATCCAAATGTATCGTAAAGATGAATATATAGTATATTTTTTTTTAAAAAAACCATGGAACAAATCTTCGCAGCAGACGACTATGTTTTTTCGAACGGCGCGCAACATAATTATTTAGCACTCTTATTATCGACCTAATGTAATCAATTAATACCTAATTTGATTTTCAAGAAACTCACTGAAAAATTAATTATTTTTTCATATTCGCTTTGATGTGACAAATATTTCTTCATTTTCAATCTAATTATGGATTTATTTTCGTGCAATACTTGATATAATTTAAATAAATCTAGTTAGTAATTAATGATTAGTCGATAATCCTCTGGATTTGTTTTTGAATAATTTTCCATTTCCCCATATTCAGTCACATAATCTTTATAATATTTTTTATATCAATTCCTCTGTCATTTTGTATTGCCTCCTTCGATGTTCTTGTGTCTGTCATCTAATACTGCAAGTTCGCAAACAAATATGCCTATCAATTAATTTGTCTTCATTAGATGGAAGAGATGATTTTAATCAATGAACACCACCAAAAGATGCCTTCTTTCTATCTTTCTTCTTCACTTAAATTTTGTATTCTTTGTCTTTCTTCTTTCTCTACTTTATGAATTTTTTTAATTCCGCTAATTTATATTTGATTGTTGGACCCTTTACTTTTTTGTCGTTTAAATTCTGTATTTGTTAAATATGAATGCAAATCCATAAGTCCACTATTGGTGTACACTAGTGATGTACACCAATTTTTGATTGAGGTATTAATACAAAATTTGTTATACCTTTAGCATGAAAATATTTATTTATTTAGTATATAAACGGGCTTATATTGCCCTTTCGTACAATGTACTGAACAATGAGAATTTTAAGTTAGTAGTTGACCGCATTGTTATTATTTTGATCGAAAATCTGTTTACGCAGTTCGCTAACAAACGCGTTAAACGAAACACCATAAAAATTTACTCTATTAAACAATAATTTTCGCTGACGGATATAAAAAAGATATTTAAACGAGAATGTCGCAAACAGATTGTTAAATTGATATGTTCGAATTAGGCGGAATATAAAAATATAAAATGTACCAATAATGTAAAGAATAGACTTATAACTAAATTTAAGAAAAACATGTTCGATAGAAATGTTATCAGTATCTATGACTGAAGTTCTCAGCAATGATTCACACGCGATTAACAATTAGCGAATAAACGCTGAAGGGTTGAGAGTCAGCTGTTTCGAAAATATGCGCTGGATAAGAAAGAGGAACAGTCTGTGAATTGGCATGATGCGATAAGCCGATAATATTGTTGAATTCTAATCATGAATGGTATAAACGTGTAGGGGAGAGTCTCCAGTTGTGAGACACCTCCAGTTGTGAGACAGTCAATTTTTTTTAACATGCAATATTAAAAAGCCGATTGGTTTATATAAAAACATTTCTTTTTATATAAAGTGACCATATGGAAATAGTGACAATGCGGGACACCCGCTTATTTATATGATTTAGTAAACAAAAAAAAGGTAATTTGCAGGGTTGCGCAGTTACGCGTAACTCGAGGTTTTCTACGTATGTTACATGTATGTTACATGAGCTAACATACGTATGTTACCCCCCACTCTCGAAAAATACATGGATGTAACAATGTAAGGACGTAACATACTAGGTAACATACAGTAACAAACCCAGGTAACATACATGAAGAGTATGTTACGTACCTTGTCACAAGAAAAAAGAATCAGGGAATTTGTAGGAGTCAATTGGAGCGGAATTGAAACAAAGGCGCGTCTATGACATTTACATATTTATATTATGCTTATTTTGTAACATTGAATCACATATGTTTCTGACGATTGAATTTTTCTTAAAATATCACGAAGTCTATCTCTCTCACACTTATATACGCTACTGTGCTAACCTGTAGATGCAGGATATTCTTAACTATTTTCCGGGATATGCAGGACATTTTATGTCAAATGCGGGACGTTTTGCGGGACGCTAGCCTTTGCGGGACAAAGGGGATAAAAATCCGGGACAGTCCCGCACAATCCGGGACGTATGGTCACTTTAAAAATTTTTATATGAGCCAACTTTTTCATGTACGCCGAAGCAGATATATTAACTGTTTTTGTTAAATATTAACACTGTGTGTGATAATCGACTAAAAAGCGTTTTTTCAATAAATGCAAAGTACTTTTTTTCCAAGTTAATTAATTGGAAAAGGTAAATGTAATGCATTTTCTTTTAGTGTTTTCCTTACATTTTGTGATGCAATATTGCATTGTTCCAATCTACGGTTGAAAATAATTTAATTTTCCTTTTTCAAAATAGCGCCAATTT